AATAAGAAAAATAAGAAAAATAAGAAAAATAAGCAATTAAAAAGAAAAATAGGAAAAATAAGAAAAATAAACAATAAGCACAGAAATACCACCATACCAACACCAAATCAAACCCCAAACCAACACCAAAACCAAAATCAACACCAATAACATATTCCCATTAAAAAATCCACCCATCCATCCATCCATCCATCAATCCACATACCTAGTACACAAAAACCCAAGACTTTCCCTACCAACCCTCACCAAACAAAGCACGAAATCCTTAATATACACACAGAGTAAGTAAGACAGACACTTACCTCCATAGCTAGAAGAAAAATCTGCCTTGCGCTTAGATAAATAGATAAATAGATAGATCGATCTGCCTTGCACGCACCACGCACCACGCACAGCGTTTCATTTAATAAGCAAGGATGATAAGATTTTTGGTCCACTTTACTATTATTGGTTAATTGATGTGCGATATACATAGCCTAGGTAGGTAGGTGTGTGTACCAGGTATATACCTAGGGAGGGAGGAGTGATATTTACAAAAAAAAAAGAAGAGAAAAGAAGAGAAAATATATGTATGTGATCGTATCGATTGGATAAACCCGAGTCTTTCATTTATTTCATCCGTCCATCCACCTCTCATCCATCTTTTAAATACAATGCTTTCAATCAATCCAATTCTATGCATGCACGCAAGCAAGGTTGGAATTTCAATTCTTTCTTCAACAAAACAGGGAATACAGCAGAGGGGAATCATCAAGAAAAATAACGATATGCTATGCTCGTTTTGGTACTCGTGAAAAAAAATAAACAAAAAACTGAACCCATCCGTTCAAATGAAAAAATAATAATGATAATAATAATAATAGAAATGCATGGGGTATATCGTTAAAAGCTGCAGGCAAAACTTAAAATAGAGGTATGTGCTGATCTGCTTCTAACCGTGTATCCACCGGCCGAGAAGTCCCATCCAATCCTTCTAAGTCTTTCATTCTTAGACCCCGGGAATTGTTCTTCTTTTTATGCTAAAAACAAAACGTTGGGGCAAGAAAGTAATATAGTGTGCGTAGGTATATTTTTGACGTTCCGTGCTTCGGCTGCTCTAATTGCTGGCCCTCGCTACCATCATCTCGGATCTTTAGTGCTGAGACAAAAATGGCCAATCAATTGATCTTTCCCATCTTTTGAAATTAAAAAATGTAACCTTCATGAGTTGTGCAACGGCCAGCACATTCTTTCCCTCTTCCACCGCAACAAGCAACACGTCAGAAAACCACAGATAATTTGCGCTTTTAAATTACCCAATTTCTGTAGCATGCAGTCCAAGAATTGTCGGGTTCATGCTGTGCTGCGCCTCCCAAGGTCTCGTGTAACTCATTACCCCTACGTAGGCAAGCTTGATCCGAAATCTTGGGAGCAACAGTCTGTTGTGTTTTGTACTCGGGCCCAATCCGTGATAAAGGCCACCACATCGTATACGCTTCGGTGCGCCCCATTTCTTAACATTCCTGTGGAGTGAGAATCGAGGTTTAAACTGCCACTCAAATTTTGCCTTTCCATTATACGGTCCTTCGTGGATCTACCTAGAATTTCCGGTCAATTGGCCACTGGTACATCAGCGTCCTTCCAAACTCCAATGGCGTTGCTTATTCATGCGGGCGCTTAGAGATGCATGATGATATATGCGCGCGCATCTAACAATAATGCGCACAAACTCCAATCCATAAAATTCATTCGTCATCCATTCTTGTCTCAAAAGCGCGTCAGGTCGAAAGGCGAGGTCCGAAATGAGACGCTGGCGCAAAACCCTGGTTGAAATTTGTCGCGACATCCGAAAGAAACTTAAAGTCCGCCGATCGGCACCACACTGGCCAATCCCTCCTCATTCCCAATTTCCAATCCCATGAAGCTTTGGGAGTGTTTACAAAGGGATAGTCACTTCCGACGCCCCGGGCCGCCGTGCAGTCCATATATGCCTACATTTTATGTAAGTTTGGTAATTTTTAATATCTCGATAAAATTGCAAAATGGGGATTGCCGTGGTTGATTGAATACCCAAAAAATGGCTGAACAAGGTCCTGCAGAAATTAAAAGCATACGAGGGATACTCACAAATTATTGTAGGCACGAATCTTCCTCGAGCAAATATCTCTCCTGACTTCTGTTATCAGCCTTGTGACATCATCTTTCGTCCAATTAAACATTCTGCATAAAGGTCCAAGCGTCATTGCTTCTAGTCCTTGGGTGAGGGCTAAATTATACCATCTCGCAACATCTTTTTCTCGTGGATCATCGGGCCATGGATTAAGGGGGATTTGAATAACTTCCTCCTGAATATCGAGGAACTCTTGGTTTTGAAGCATCATCTCAGTTTCTGCGTTGTAAGCTAGAGCGGCGATTGCGATGAGTAGCATCGAAAAGCAGCCGCATTCATGTAGCCAGCGCAGAGGTCATTGTGGAATTTCTC